ATTCGAGTGTGATGATGGATGATGATGATAGTTTACGGACTTCATCAGAGTAATCACTGATTGCGAAATACAAAGTGAGTTTTAAATCACTAATTGCGTGTGGACAAGGCGTTCTCCACACAATACTCCTGGCGCATATAAGGTGTAGAGATCAATGCAAAAGCTATAAGAATCAATTTTACTTTATATGTGCTCATTGTAATTGCCGGGCATCCACTAATCTTACATAGGTCATACATGTTTCTTCCTCAAAACGCTTGGCCACAAAGTGGCGAATCCGTTTCCATTGAGTATTTATAACTACGCATCGGCCAGATTAAGTGATGCCGGAGATGTCGGCACATCTTCATTACTGTGAACAAAATGCGTCTGCCCGAAGACGAGCTTACTGCGAGATCCTAAAGGATCGCCGGTCTCATTTATTTTCCTAGGGATTAGGAATTCGCTTTCACAATCCATAAATAGCCGTCGTTATGCACCTAAAGCTGACCTGATTCGACGTCGCTGAAATGTAGAACCAAGGGAAAAAATCATCGTCGGTGCGCATGAGATACAAGCGTAGTTACGTACAGTACGTACATAGCATGCATGATCATGGAGCACTATAGGAGAGGCATAAGTATTGCTTTTATGCTCATAAGTTTGACCTATGTACATACAATATCTATGTACCTACGTACGTATAATATTAACTTGCTTTTCTGGAAAAGAAATTAAATTAATAAATAAATGCGTGATGCAGTTTCTTCGGTGCAAGCCGCCAAGAAATCAATCATATCTCAATGGGATTATTGAGAAAGACAAAACGCATCTCACGGTCTTGAAACTCTTTCACACAATTCATGCCCTCTCTCTGTTTTAGGAAAAAAAAAATAAAAAAATAAACTCCTTCTACTCTAATTCGGGTTAAGCGAAATACAGTTTATTTGAGATATCGAAAGATTCAACTCGTATTTACTATGAAATTGCATACACTTTTATCATTACGTTTGCCATTATTGCTTGTTTACCATAGAAAAAAAAAAAAAAAAAAAGAAGGAACCAGATCAAAGCAGGAAACTAATGATCTGGAATAAAAAAGGCAATGGATATTCCAAACAAATTACTCGTCATATCCACCACTCCGCAACCCCACCCCTGTCATATCC